ATATATATATATATATATATATATATATATATATATATATATATAAAGGTGTTTTAAACTCTTCCCACACTCTTGCAATATTCTAAACAATGTTTCTAAACTCTAAACGCTCTAAAAGAGCAGAGAATGTCATGATTTCATCTCCCTGCCTCTTCTGCTCTCAGTCACCCGCAAGCACTCTTGGCCACGCCCACTTCTCGGCTCTGCATGGAGAACAGCTGATCAGCTGCAGCAGGAAGTTTATCCTGCAGTATGGCCTGCACAAATATGCAGCAGGTGCAAAATTATTTATTTTAAATAAAAATTCCATGCTGATCGTGCGGATCATCCATCAATAAACCAGTTATGTGTCATGTCCAATCTTATTTTGAAAAACAGTGATAGAGCGAGTCTGTGATAAATGAACTGCGAAGTAGCGAGGGGTACTGTAACTCCAAAAGTTAATCAGTTGGAAATGGCTTCTACTGCTATTCTAATCCAGGGATTATTTTTTGCACAGTTTAAACCTCTAAGGTTCATCATCTCCTGGGTGACTGAAAATCCACACCAACATGTTACTCTGCAATAATTAAGAGACACTGGAAGTCATGATGGAAAATATTATCTGAAATAATTCAAAGTGCCAGTATCATTATTTGTATTTTTCAAACATAAACCACATTTTGTGCCCATGTACTTTTAGGAAAGTACACCACCAGGACTCCAAAATAAAGAGATTTTCTAAGAACAACAGAATATTTTACTGTAGCGTGAGTGGATAGCTTTGTGATTTTGTGCATCGTGGCTTGCCTTGCTGGGGTCACCTCCGAATGCAGCAATGTTCTGCTGTACCCAAAGAAGAGCCGCCTGCTGGTCCAAAATCCCATAATTCCCTGCAGCTGAGGAGTGGGGATCTTCACCCGACACAAGGAATCCAAATGCCCCTTCAATCGCGCATCAGTTCACATGATCAGTGAGACAAAATTAACTCAGGCAAGACATTCATTTCCTCCCAAATCCCAATAACCAATCTCATCTTAACGCCCGTTTTCATTCTTGAAAGAATACAATTTATTATAACAACATTAACAATTTCCCTTTCTTTCTGTCTTGTACACATGCATGCAGCTTCTAAGACGTTATCTTAACAAAGCGAGCATCTTAACAAATGTTCATGGCTGTCTTCAAGACAGTTTGTATTAAAGTTAATTCAGTCTTTATCCTAGTCCATACAATCCAATTTATAAACAATGTGCACACAGAACCCCCACTATCTTCTGCCTAACAGACATTTTATTTCGGCAGAACAAGATCACATTAAAGCAAAATACAACCAAGCTGTCTTACCCAGTCGGTACTGCAGATTCACGACAACAGTGTTGGTGAAGTTACTGATGAAGCGCTCGTCAGACAACGGCTTGGAGGCAGAACCGGCTACGAAATCGCCTCCATGGATCCACACCATGATGGGCAGGGGGCGCCCTCGAGGAGAAGTGAGGTTCACATCAAGGGGAACAAAAATGTTGAGGTAAAGGCAGTCCTCACTGACCTTTGTGGAACAAAAGAGAATGCATTTCAGTTTTCTTCCCTGAAATTGATTTTTTTTTTTATTTTATGAAAACCCTAAATTAGTATATTTATAAAGGTTTCTCTTTTTTTGTGTGTATGATGTCAGAGAACTGCTAGGGATGCATGATATTGGATTTTTGGCCGATATCCGATATGTTAAAACTTAAGTGGGCGATAACTGATACAAATACCGATATTTTTTTCCCTTTGACCAAATAACATTTAGGGATGGGGCTAATCCGATCCAGTATCAGTATCGGCCTCCAATACCAGCATAATTTACGTATCGGATTTTTCCGATCCATGATGCATGTTGGCTTCAAACTATGGGATGGATTTCCTGAACGGCGGCGTGTCTCATGAACCCAGAGTAATAAGACCCGCCTCACATTCAGGAAATCCAGTTCATAGTTTGCAGCCAGCTACAACGTGAGGACTGAGTTAGCAGCACTGTGGCTAACAGCTAACAAACTTTTCATCGAAACATGTCCGCTGTGTGGAAGAATTTTACACTAAACACCACAAGACAGCAACGTGCAATGTCTGCAGAGCCATAGCGCCACATTAAACTGTGGTAAAGTTAGTTTTACGATGGACATTCGAGCTCCGTGGCTTCAGCGGGGCACTACTCTCGCTGAATCCGAAACAGGCAACTCGACCTCGGCCAGCCGCGTCCAATCTGCCCCGCTCAGTCTGTCCATCTCTGAGGAGGGACAGACTGAGCGGGGCTGCCCCAAATCAAGCTGCCTGCTTCGGATTGAACAAGAAGTAGACGTCGCTGAAAGCTCGGAGCTCAAATGTTTACAGAGAAGTTGTTAAACTTCATAATTAATGACCAACCACTATCAGTTGTAGAAAACGAAGGATTTCTCAGTTTGATACTTGCAGCCAAGATATAGTTTACCCTCATGGAGATATTTATCAGTACAACAGTAAACAATCATAAAAAAACATGATTTGAAAATTATATATATTAAAAACAAAAACAGCTACATTATAAAGTGATGTAAAATAATAAAAACAGGAACATGTCTGTTGGTTTATGTCATGAACTTAGCAGGTGTTTGAAGCCATTTAACATTTTATTTTATTTAATTCATTTATTCA